GAAGAGAGAGCACAGCGGCCAAGAGCTCATTAGCAGCCATCTTTTGTATCCTTCCCTCCTTAGGCTGATGTCAGGTCTGGGCCGCCCTATCAAAAACCTGCTTGAGTTCTTGTGAGAAGAACTGAAGATAGCACTCTCTGATTGGTCCCTTGTACAGGGCACATTTCCTGGATCTCTATTATTGACAAGTCATGCCCACTTGCTCAGGCCACTGGCCCTATTCTCTTGCCTTGCCATGTACTAGGATATTTGACAGAATATAAGCAAAGTGTCCAGGATCCTGATGGCTTCTCTTTGCTGCTGATAGTAAGTGGAAGAAGAGAGAACTAATTAAAGGTGGAATTTATAATCAAAAGGGAAGCAGAACTTAAAGATTTAAGCATCACTGTTTGGCCACGTTGTGAAGAATAAAAAGGACTTCTGTGTGTTTAGTAGAGAATACCAAGGGTTTGGCCCATTGAGTGTTTGTCAAGGAGAACAGTCAAGGCAATGGAGAATGACTCCAGGACTATTTCAGGGCTGATTATCAGAGAACCAGTGCTTCAGGGCCTTGAGGGTAGAAGATTTTAAGGAAAAGGCCTAGGTCCCTCGTGGGACCTCAGACCTAGACCTGCTGTCTACATTGCTTCAAGTCTCTGCTGCCTTCGTTCCTACACAGAACTCTCCCAGGCCCCAGCTGTGCTGGATCAGATCCAGTTGTGGCTTTGACCACCCTTCTGGATGGGACAGAAAACTTAAGGTATTTTCTTACATCAGCATGGAACAGACTTAGCATCTGTTGTATTCCTTTGCAATTACTGTTACTAGCTTTGATACTTTAACAAGTGTGCAGGATTAAAATCCAAAGTTAACCAGTATTTCCGCTCTTCTCTGGAATCTACCCCCTTCCCAGCAATAAACCCCGGTGGAATTTCTGTGGTGCAAAGGGTTTGCACAGAGTGCACACTGTGGAGGCATGGCTGCTTCCACTTAGACTTTAAGGGGTGTTTCTGAGAGCCTCAGAGCCCAGCCAGAGACCTGACACACAGGCAGGCCTGCTGCATATCTACCAGGGTGATGCCCAGTGTAGCTTTGGGACAGGACTGCACTTGAGCCCAGACCAGTAGAGCCACTGGAGTGCAGTGTCAGCCTCGAAGAGCTGCAGGCATTGCCTTGCAAACTGTGGCCAGTGCTATGTGGGTTATGCTCAGCTAAAGTAGGGGGCTGGGAAGTCAGGAGCTGCAGGGACCTCTCCCAGCCCCACTGAGTGTGGAAGGTGAGATATGGGATCAAATAAGATAATTCTCAACCCTGAAGAGTTCATATTGTTTGCCTTAGTGAGTTTTGGACATACTTGGGAATTTTCCCCCACTTCTCTTCTATTTGTCTTTTTGGGAATGGGAATTTTTACCCTGTACCCATGCTACCATTGTATTTTGGAATCTCATAAGTTGTTTGATTTCACAGCTTCATAGCTGAGGGGGGAGTTCACCTAAGGATGAATCATACTTTAAGTCTTGACCATATCTGATGTAGACAAATACAGATGAGAAGTTAGACTCTAAAGTTGATGTTGCCATAAGTTAAGACTTTGGGGGCTATTGGGATGGAATGAATGTGTCCCGTGCATGGCAAGGGCATGGACTTTGGTGGGAGGGCAGGGACAGAGTGGTGTGGTGTGAAAGTTTGTGTCCTCCCCAAAATTTATGTGTAAATGTAATCCTCAATAGAACAGTGTTAAGAGGTGGGGCCTATAGGAGGTAAGTAGGCTGTGAGAGCTCTGTCTTCATGGGTGTCCTTATGGACCTTACACAAGTGCTGCAGCAGAGAGCTCACTGGGCCCTCTTGTCCCTCTGCTTCTTCTCCACACAGTGACAGGGCACCATCTTGGAAACATAGACCAGGCCCTTAGCAGACACCAAACCTACTGGTGCCTTGACCTAGTACAGTGGTGGTGAACCTATGGTAAGAATGCTGCAGCCCACTGCTTGTTACCACTGAAAGCTCTAAAATGTTCGCCATCACTGACCTAGGACTTCTCAGCTTCCAAAACGATAAAAAATAAATTTCTGTTGTTTATATATTTCTACATTTAAGGTATTTTCTTATATCAGCATGGAATGAATTTAACATCTATTGTATTCTTTTGTAATTACTCTTACTAGATTTGATACTTTCACAAGTACATTTGGATTAAAGTCCAACATTAATCAGTATTTCCTCTCTCCTCCGGAATCTACCCCTTCCCATTTCCCTGACTTTCTCATCGGTCTGTCCTCATTCTTCAAATGTTGGCTCTAGGCCGCTTTTCCACAGACGCCTCCCATTCCCTGGACTAACCCAGTCCTCTCCACAGTGTTTGCCTGTCACTGAAGGCATCAGACCTCACAATGACACAGGAGTGTGATCCACACTCAACACCCACCTTCTCCAGTGGACAGTCGCTCTGCGGAGGGCAGGGGCTGCCTCTGTGTCGCTCTGCATTCTGCTCCTCACGTGCAGCTGTGCACTTGCACATGATACGCAACATGCTTGGCTATAGACTGGAAGGCAGAGTAAGAAGGTGGGGAGGGGAAGGCTGCCCAGACCTAGCGACACCTTTGGAGGTTGTAGCTCCCACCCTGACTCTTCCCTTCTTTCTCTAGTTCTTGGCTGGCATGAGGTGAGGAGCTTTTCCTCCACCACGCTCTTCCCCACCATGCTATTTCTGTCTTGGAGCCGATCGGCTATGGTTTCCATCCCCAAACCAGAAGCCAAATTAAGCCTCTACTCCTTTAATTGGTGGGTGTTAAGTATTTTGTACCAGAAGTGGGAAAGCTGACCAACATAACGGAGCTTCACATCCTGTCAGGAGAAGGAATTGCATCCTCTTACCCAAAACAGAACAGAAATAATGGCAGATCAAGTACAGCGGAAGGGAATTTCTTCCTCTTGTCATGAAGTCTGTGGCTAGGGTGTTCAGGGCTGAGCCGGGGGCTGTTAAAGGCACCAAGGATTTAGACCCTTTTTGACTATCATCCTTGGCCCAGGGCTTATGTCTTCATAGGTACCCTACTGTCAGAATGCAGGGTAGAAGAGGGTGCAGAAAAAGTCCTGCCCCCTTTGCTTTATTAGTTGAAGCCTTTCATGGACTCCCAACTTCCTGGTCATAATTAAATTCGATGGCCTCATCTAGCTGCAAGAAAATGGTTTTGTTTTAAAGCCAGGTACTTTGCAGTTCAAATAAGATTAGGTCCCTGTTGTTAAGGATGCTGCATGTACGTGTGGTGGGGGACAATGTTGTTTGGGTAAAGCTCTCTGGTGACAGTGAGACCTGTGAGAGAAGGCGTTGATATTTTAGGTGAGAGAATCTGACATGCTGGATTAAGGCAGTTAGAATGGAAATGGAAAAGAAGGTCCCAAATAGGATTTGACAAAGGGTCTACAGAATGCTTGGTGGCCCTTCTTCCTATTGATGTGCTTCTGAGACATCTGCCTATTGGTTTAATTTCATAGATATCTTGCACCGAATTCAAGGACATTATGAGTTAAACTTCCTGGTAAATCATGAACTAAACAAAGGCACAGCAATGTGTGCTTCTGAATCTAAGCAGGATGAATATTATTTTTGGAACTATATTTCCAAACATACTTGTTTCCCCACAGAGCTCTGTTTTCAAAGACAAAGGAATGCAGAGGACATTCATTAATAAATATATCATTTTAAAAAGTAGAGCCATCTTTTGCTTATACACATTCAAGATATATACATGTCTCAATGTCAGAAAATAAGTCAGGAAACCATATGGATGCTTCATCTTCGTGACACAAGCCATCTGCATTTCCTGTAGATAGTCCAAATATCTTATAAACTTAGCATTTTTTTCCTCTTTCATACCATACTTACAAAAGACAATCTGGGCTGTTCTGGTGCACCAATCTTGTCTTCAGGAAATTGAATCGGTAGAAAACACATCTAGAAATCTAACCAAAAAGATGAGATCAAACCCTCCCAAAGTTCTAAAATATTTTGGTTTTCTTGATATATGGTTGAAGTAAAATGCAGTGTGCCCTTACTGAGATTCTGAAGTCATCAAAATCTTCAAAAAATAACTGGTGGAGATATCACTGATGTCCCTCTTGCTTCCTGAGAGGGCGCGCATCTGTGCACTCTGGTTGTTGCATCCTGGAGCTATGTACTGCCATGTACGCTGGATTTCCCCACGCTGCTCCCATGAATGTGGCCATGAAGCAGGGTGTGTGTGCGTGCACAAGTAACTCTCACTTTCGGGATGGATTCCAGAGCTCAAAGGTGAGAAGAGCTCATCGGGGATGGGGGAGGCTGGTCATCCTGTGTCAGCCTGCCTGGAACAACTGGCAGTGAGAGATCATAGCCCTGGGGAGTGTGAGGAAGCCCCGGATGAATATGGGTGGAGGTGAGCTGCATAGACCTGAGCATGCTGGGGTTCCCAGTGCACAGCCTGGGAGAACAGAATGGCCTGGTCATTCACCAGACATCTGTGCTGTGTATCTGCCCTAGGTGCCACGATTATTCTATCAAGTCTCTGAGCTACTCTTTTAAAAATAAACCTGATCTGGTTAACTCCACTGAAGTGTGGGCAGTATGTTACAGAGGAGTGAACATTCCCTGGAGTCAAAGAACCCAGCTCAAGAGATCAGTGTAGGGGCTGACAGTTCTCTGAAACCTTCCCCGCTTCAATATTCTTTATCCGGGGACTATCACAGCGTCACCTGTATTATAGTCGCGAGTCTTCCCAATAGTTTGATGTGCTTGAACAAAAATCAGTTCTGGACATTCTTACTGAAACATCAAACGTCACATCTTTGTGCCAAGGTTTAATCACAATAAGAACAAAAAACCGACAGGATCATTCAGACCATCTCGCTCTTTCCTTCACTTCTTAAATGTCGTGGATTTAAAAGAAACCAGAGGGCAAAAAAAGAAGCTCATGGGTGGAGCCTGGAAGGAGCGCCTAGCTCATTTGTAGGGAAATCCGCGTAACATGTAAATGTCAAGAGGCTGAGAGTTTTCATAATTTTAATACAATCATATTACATCTTAGAGCCCACCCACACCAAGGCCTCCTGGAAGGCCACCCGTGCTGCACACTGGCATCTCCGTCTGTCCTAGGTGACATTCTTGTCAGCCCCTCCCCACTGCTCCGGTCCAGGGAAGCCACAGAGCCACGGGGCTGAGACGCAAGCACTAGGGAGGAACGGAAAGACAAGGTGCAGTTGGCCGATTAGTTCAGAGGCAAGTGATGCTTCCCATTTCTGAGCAGAAATTGAGGTGAATCAGGAAATGGATGGCGTTTTTTCAAGTCACATGAATCAGCGCCCCAAAGTTCATCATTTTCACCCCGTGTTTCACCGGCTTCCTTATTTTGCGTTCCGTGCATGGCTCCCCTGAAGCAAGTTAGCCAGTGCTAGATTCTAATTTTGCAGAGAACTAAAATGCATTTTTATACAGAAAGGACCACCTTTCACTTTGCGATGGGACGGGAGTTGAGTGAGAAAAGCCTTCCCGAAGGAGGAAAGGGACTCCTACTTAGAAAAAAATACCTGTGGATATTTAAAATAATTTAGCTCTAGAGGACCTACTAGGTGCTGGGCACTAGGGGCTTTACATCTGTCACCTAACTTTTCTATCAATGCGTACATTACAGCTGACCTCCCTGCTGAAGGAGTTTAAACTCCAGATGAAGACACCAGCTCAGAAAACGTCAAAAACTCGCAGGAAAAGGCACAATCACACCCTCACTATAGGTCCATTGGACTTCAAAGTGCACTCTGAATTATAATTTGGCTTCTTTCCCTGCTTATTAGCAATTTATTTATAATTCATCACCACTAAAACATACTTGGTGATGATTCAATGGAACTGGTAAACAGTAAAACTGAACTCCATCTCCTTCCCCGACGCAAGCAAAATTGCTTAGTTTATGGATTTAAATATCATGTCATTAGCCTTTCTATAGTATGGTGTGTAGAAGTTTTAAGTTCCAGCGCTTAACTCTACATGTCAAGGATATTTTTTTAAAAAAATTTGTTTTCAAAAGTATTAACTGTGTTTTAGTGCAATAGCTGAGAGGCAGCGACGGGATTGGCTAAAGACATCTGGGTCCTAATCCCATCTTCTGTCCCAGTCTCTGTGTGTCTATTTAAGGGCCTCTGCGCTCAAACCGAAGGCAGGATCCTCCTCTCCCCCACCCAGAGCCAGCTGAGACCTGGCCAGCCTCCTCTTCTGGGAGGTTCCGGGCCTCTGAGCTACGTGGCACGCGCGAGAAGGGAGGGAGCGTCCAGAGCCCCGTGCCACCAAGGACGGGAAGAAGGGTTCAGCTTTTCACTGAAGTCCCAGAAGCCAGCAGCTCAGCTACCGCAGGGTAGAAACCTGCCCCACAACCCAGGGAAGAACCAACACGTCCTGAAAACTTCAAGGAAATCCCTGGGAGGACTCTAGTTCCCACGCCTCCAGAGGCTGAGAACAGGCATTTTGAGATGGGAAAGGTTTCCATGGAAGCCTTCAGAATCATTTCATTGAGTTCTTTTACTTAAAAAACTACAGAAAATGAAGACAAACTGAAGTCACTTTGCACTGTAGTCCTTCTCTTAGGTCTGCGTGTTCCCGTGTGGGCAGGACACGCCCCAGGCAGGACTCCGTGTTTTACGCACGGGCTCGCAGGAACCCTAGGAGACGGTGTGTGAGAGTGGGCATCGGACATCCTTATGTCACTGCTTAACAGCGGCCTTTCATGCGTTTCCTTGTGGAAGGGGACTTTAAAGCCACTCTCTGAGTCTGGAGTGGAGGGGAAAAAGCAAAGAGAAACTGCCCCACGGCATCCGAAGGGGAAAGGTCACTAGTGGCCATGCGGGGCCGGGAACTCACGTTGTGACTTCACCAAGCCCTCGGCCCCTCTCTCCATTGTAAGCGAGGCAGAGCTGATCCCCCCGCCCTACCTGGAAGTATCACGTCGCAGGAGTCCCCGGAGCTACTCTTCTTTCCAGTTACAAACTTTTCACCCTCGTCCTAGGACCCAAAGATCCTGCAGCTGTGCAAGGAGGATTTTCTACCCCAGAAGCGGACCACTGGCTTCTGTCCATATGTGGCCCCTCTGCTAAGCTAGGGTGGCTACTCCGGGACCCAGCTCGGCAGATGTGTTCTCGTCCCGATTTAATCCCCGCTCCTTTGGCCCTAGCTGGTCGGAGCACCACCCCGCCAGCTCTCCCGGGGTCGCAGGAGTTGGCGGCTGGGCTAGCAGGAGGACGCCCCAGGGCAGCGCCAACCCCAGGCCCCGGCCCGCGCCGCCACCCCTGCCCAGGCGCCCCGCGAGGGTCGCGCACGTACCTGGCTCCAGGGCTGCCCGGGCGACGCCACGTCTCGGGTCTGGGCCCGGCGCCTCGGCTCTTTATAGCGCACCCCTCCCGCCCCCGGAGCCACGTAGAGCGCGGGACAGCGGGTGGGGAGCCGGGAGTCCCCGCCAGGCGGCAAGGGGCCCCGGAAAGTGCACGCTCTGGCCGCGAGCCTGCACTCAGGAGGCGGCGGGGCTCAGGGGATCTGGGGGTCCCGGGGGTCCCGGAGGTTCCAGGGGGGAACCCATCCCGGGAAGGGACGGGGTCGGGGAGGGGACGGGGAGGTCCTGCAGGGCCGTGCTCGGGTTTCACCCCGAGGAGGCGTGGCGGGGGCGTGGCGTGGCGGGGGCGTGGCGACGCGGGCCTGCGTCCCGCCCCCC